ACAGAAATTCCCTTCCTTCCCTGATTCAGAGCCAGGAGACCACTCAGGGTGTTCCTGCTGTTCTTGGGCTTCTTCCTAAACTCCCCCTCAGTGTTTTGTTGTTCTGGGCATTCCTGGTGTAGCTTCCTGCAGTCGTGTTCTCCAAAGGGAAGAGTAGAAATGTGGACTTAGGTGTCTTTACCTGGTAACAAACAGTATCAGATACTGCCCAAAACAGGTTTCTCTTTTATTTTGAAAGCTAAGACTAACACTGGTAATTGTAGAAATGGGTAAACTCCCCTTTTTTGGTAAATTTATGGCTGTAATAGGATGCTTAGTGTTGGCACAGCTCTGCTTGGTTCACAAATGAAAGTACTAATTATCCATTCAGTGGAGCCTCAATAAAAGGGTATTTCCACACGCTGTGCAAGAGCAGAAAAAAAACACCCCAAACCTAATGTCAGAATTAAATTAAGTTTAATATAAAAAAAAATTAAGATTCTAAAGCTCAGAATAAGGACACGTCTGGTGGAAAGGATTTACTCCCAATTTCATACCTATAAGCTTGTCCCTGATACACCAGGAGACATGGACACCCAGTATGAAAAGCTGCATTACACATTTGTGCTCCCAGCAAGAACTTATTTATGGCAGTTCCCTCATTATGAGTGGTGAAAAAATGTCTGATGTCCTCTCATGTCCTCTGGAGTCGAGCTTTGCTTGATCTAAAACAAAAAGATGTGGAGGAACTATAAAAATAACCCCATCTGTTCACTGGTTCTTGTGATCTGTCTTTGTGGTGGTTATTCTGTGTGGGTTTGGGATGAGAGCAGAAGGCAGGATTGTGTCTCAGTTCCAGTCACACCAGTCACACCAGTGCTCTCCCAGTGCCCAGCTCAGACCCTCACACTTCACCCCCCGTGTGCTTGCCCAGCCCTGCTCCCCGTTTTCCTGGCTTGGAAAACGCAGAGAGCTGCCAGGACTCTTCCAAAGAAAGCTGCTGGTGATGCACCCAGCTTGATTTATTGATATATCATTTTTAAAATTCCATCTCCATTGTGTTTCCATGGTGCTGAATTTTTACCTTTATAACTTTATCCTGTGGGTTCACCGCGAGTGAACATTATTGGTGTGGGAGTCAGTTCCAGACACGAGATTTGCATCATTGCTTTCTGTTTAATAAAACAGGAGCTCAGGATTTTGCTGTCATTAACACTCTGCTCAGTTTTTCCCCCCTCCCTTTTTCTCTCTTCTCTCTAGTTGTTTTTTTTCTTGCTGCCCCAGGGTGTGTGGAATCACACAGTCCCTGCGTCTCAAAGGCATATGGTGCTGATGGGTTTGCACATATGCTTTAAAAAGTATTATAATATTAAAAATATTCAAACATTAGAATATAAGATTATTTCCAGCTTCTGGGGCAATTGGAAATGCCAAATTTGATAAGGAAGAGGAATTAAAATGAGAGTTGTACCTTCCTGCACCTACAGTGAGACGGTGGCGCCGGGTGTTGGGTTTGTCAGACTGTAAGAAAAGAGCCCAAATCACAACAGACTTAATTGTGCTGTTTTGAATTGTGTCGTCCTGTTTGAGCTGGAGGTGCTGTGGTTGTGATTAAGCTGTTCCTCCAAAGGATTTGTTTTGTTTCCTTCTGCCTTCATTCTTTGTGTCTTATTATAACTTCAGTCAGCTCTTGTGATTAGAGCGATTGTACTCCGGGCTTGAAGATGTCAGAGGCAAAACAGCAGAAACAAAGCGAGGAAAGCAAGGCCTTAAAAGGTGAAATCACTGCTCAGTGCAAGCTCTGGGTGCTGCCAGGGGAGCAGTGGCTGCCCCATCCCTGGAATCCAAGGCAGGTTGGATGGGGTTGGGAGCAACCTGGGCTAGTGGAAGGTGTCCCTGCCCATGACAGGGGTGGCACTAAATGAACTTTAAGGTCCCTTCCAACCCAAACCAGTCTGTGATTCCATGATTCCTGCTTTTTTCTCACCAGGCTTGATGAGCTGTGTGTGCCACACTCCTCTGGGGGCTCCCATGGATTGCATGGGGCCACACTCCTGACCACAGTGGTCGTCTCTAAAGACCCTAAAATATCTCCATAGCTAGAGATGAATTTATGTGGCTTGTACCTCTGTAATATTTCAAAGGCTATTTTGTGATTTACTGTATCTGAAGGGATTTGGGGCTCTGCAAGTTTCTGTTTATTATCATTTCATACAGACTATTAACTTCTGAATGAAACCTTTCTCAGTTAGTGGCTTAATCTTTGCTAAGATATTTTTACGGGTGGTAAATGCTGCCCACACACAGAAGACACAATCCTGCCCTAGACAGCTCTCAATAGAAACTTAAAAGTGTATCAAGAACATGTAATACAAAGGGCAATGCTTTAATTACCAGAACTCCCAAGAATGCAGCTGGGCTAGAGGAGGAGGCAATGCTCAGAGGCTGGGATTAGCCTTGTTTGTCTGGAGATCAGAATCAAATGTTGTTTAAAGTCCTACATGGAGAAGAAATGGATGATGTCCTTATGATCTCACCAGGAAAGCTCGGCGGTCACACCCCGGGTCGGATTCTCTCTCTCTTGTGTTTCCACAGATTAATTCCTCTCTCTTTTTTCCTTACTCCATCTGAAAATTACAGAAGGTAGTAATTCACACATTAGGCTTTCTGATCTCTGGTGTGCACTGTGGAGGTGCAAAGTATTGCTACAGCAGCATAATTTATCAGCATTAAAATTTCTGACATCTCATTCTCCCAAAGAAGATGGCAATGAAAATGGAAAATGGCTCAGTGTGTTCTCCTTCTGGTGGCAATGAATGTAAAAACAATGGGAAACAGAAGGAAAGTAATGTCTTACTGCAACCCTAAATTCTAATTTCCAAATCCTGCACGAACCATGTAACAGTTGTCAAGATGTGAAGCACAGGATGGAGGAAGGAGGCTGTCAGCATTTGCTGCAGAAAGCATTTGGGTTTGTCCTTAGCAATTCCCTGTCCACAGCTCAGAGCTATTCCTGGCCTGAAGAAGTGGCTTGATTACTCGAGGACATATTTGTGGGTGGGGTGGCAGTGATTAAGGGACACCAGTCTCTCACTTCTGGGCCAAAACCTGCTCACCAGTGGCATTCAGGGAAATATCGCATGACCGGCCAGTTGTGTGGGTTTGATTTTTCCTTCACAGCAAATATTGGCTGGTGTCCATAGCAGAGAGCCTGACCCAGCCAGAGGAACGAGAGCATGAAGGGTTGATATGATGAGTATGAGGCTGATAGCACGTTGATATGATGAGTATGAGGCTGATAGCACGTTGATATGATGAGTATGAGGCTGATAGCACGTTGATACAATGAGTAGGAGGCTGGCTGGGGTCTGAGTACTGAGGGAAATATCTTAACAATGCTCTAGATAATGCAAATCCTCGAGTTCACTGTTTCACAGTCGTGCTGCTCTGTACTATAAAAACCCTCTGAAGGTATTTCTCACGGCCAGAACACCTTTGAAAAGGCCTTTGTTGGCTCAGGCGTTGGCTTTGTGCGAGATGACAAAATGTACAACCCGATGGGCTGTGTTATACACCTTGTGCTGTTCCAGTCATGCAAACAGCTCCCAGAGAAACATTCAGTGCCCATGAATGCCTGTTAACATACCTGGCTTGTAAGTAAAGTGGCACTTAATAAATGTGAGACACCTTTGGCTATCAAGATGCTTCAGATTCTTGGTGCGCTTACAAACAGGAAAGTCACTTCCACAACAAGAGCTGTGCAGAGCTCCGGGGAGATTGTCTGACTTGAGAAAGACATAATGTGAGCCATGAATATCCTGAGGGGTGGGGAAGGAGTGTTTAAATGGCACAAACAAATGATAGGCTGGATGGAAGTTAGACTGTGATTATCTTCCTGCAAGATGTATAAAGGGTATTCATTTGTAAAAGGGAGCTGCTAGGGATCCATTCGAGGCTCCTGCCTGGAGCAGAGGGTGTGCTGTGGGCACCTCTGGGATGCTGGTATGGTACCCAGTGGAAGGACACCTGTTCTTCTCACATTTCCTTCCTTATACATTTCAAAATCTGTGCTTAATCCAGTGGATATCTTCCCCTTTTCCTGAGGATGAGGGAAGAGAAGTGGCGGGTGCAGAACCTCGGGCTCTGCAGGGATTTGCTGAGGTGTTGGTGTGGAGCTGATTTATTTCTTTAGTATGATGGTCTGTAAAAGGAACACTCCTTCAGGCTTCACCCCAAAATCCTGGTTTCTCTTTAAAATGCTCCCTGACTTTCTCTGGCCAACGTGCTTGACCCCCTCTAAGCCAACCCTCCCACGCTGTAAAGGCCGGCCAGTACAGTAGTGTTATACTTTTATTACCTTATTTAGCAGAGAGATTAAATGTAATGTTCAGATTATGTAGGACATTAACTCCTAACAATAAGCAAATAACACATTAGAAGCTTTGCTATTAAAACGTTTAGTGCTGGCTTTGCTGTGGAGCACTCCAGGAGCCGTGACTTATGTTCCGGGCGGGAGGAGGCAGGAGGAGAAGGAGCTGTACGTTCAAGCCAGGGTCTCTTTCTCCTCTAAAGGTGGTGCCTGTAGCCCTGAGGTCTGGCCAGGCTTTAGGGGAGATCTGTCCATGTAACTGAGACACCCGAGCCATGGCTGCCAACCCGGGGGGCTCCGAGCAGGTAACGGAGCTCTCGCCCGTCTCCCGGTGCGTGGGTGGCGTCTGGGATGGGGCGGCCGGAGCCCCCGGTCCAGCCTCTCCTCCGCCAGGAGCAGTGATGGGATGTGCTAGTCTTGTCTTTCAGACAGTATTTTTATGTGAGCTGATGGTTGCCAGGGCAACGGAGGCTTCGGGGAGTCTCGCGCCGCCGCAGCGCCCCGGCCTCGGGAGCGCCGGGAGCAGATGTTGGCGGGGAGCTGAGGCAGCGCCGCCGCCACCGCTCCTGCGCGGCCGGGAGGACACCCCGCCGCCGCCCCGCTCCCCGTCCCCTGCCCTGCCGTAATCCAGTGTTCTTGTCTCACCCCACAGGGGTTCCTCAGCCGCCGGCTTAAAGGCTCCATCAAAAGGACAAAGAGCCAACCGAAGCTCGACAGGAACAGCAGCTTCCGGCACATCTTACCTGGGTTCAGGAGTGTGGACCATGAAAGGTAGGGGGACGCGTCGTGGGGGGGTGTGGGACACAAGGAGGAGATTGATTTTTCCAGCTCTCGTTAATATCTTGCTTATCTGATTCAGAGCAGGGGCCACATCCCTGATGGAAGTAGACTTGGTTTAATTGCAGGAGGGGTAGTTTTAATTTGTCGGTGAGGACATGGTGCAAGCCCTCCCTGTTCAGGTTAAATACCAGGTGCAGAGCAGCCTGACTGCTCTGCTTTCTCTTCCCCAATAAATCCTAACTTGATGCACCAGCGTATAAATAGCCCAAGATGCAGCAGCCAGAGCTGCTGCAGGTGAGGGAGGGAGGGCAGGGATGCTCCCGCACCGGACTGCACCGAGCACAGCTGGGTTACACACGGAATGAACAATAACACAGGGCAGGAACAACCATAATCTCCCCAAATCCCTCTCTCCCCCCTCACACCCGTTCCTCCAGCACTGCCCTTGTCTGTTGTTGTTACATGGACATGGATTCTCGGCGTGTGGCCGGAGCTGCTGTTCCTGCCTGAGCCATGACAGGAGCTCAGCCCGGGATTGCGTCGCAGGGAACGTGCAGATGGGGCTGATAAAGCATTTGACATGGGCTGGCCGGTGTTGGAGCAAATTGTAAGCAAAATGAAAAAGAAATGAGACCTTGGGTTTATTCTTCAGCTGGTTAGAAAGTGTAGAGCTCTTCAGTGGGTTTCTGTGTGTTCCTGCAGGTGTGGGTTTCTGTCTGTGTGTTCATCAGACAGGCATGGTTGAGGGAAATTTATGTGTAAATTCAGATGCAGATCAAGGTCGTGGTTGGGTGAGACAGATTCCATTACCAGCCACGGAAACAAACTAGTGCTTTGCTTCCAAAAGGAAGATCTTTCACCCTTACATGAATCATTTTGGGGAATGACAGAGATATTGAAGTGCCAGGAAAAGTCTGTGTGACAATGACGCCAGATTGGCCATACCCTGATGTAACCAGTTCCTAGCAGGGACATTTTATCATACCAGGATTGTACTTTAGACCCAGTGAGTAAATGCTTCACTTTTAAAAGCAGTGACAACTTTGTTTTAACCATACTCATTCATTGGAGGGGGGTGTGAGCTTCTGAAACCCACAAACAACAATTTGGACAAAAACCAGTCTGGATTCTTCCTTACCCGACCTATTGCTTTTTCCTTTTGAATTCTGCAAGTGAAAGGGTTGTGCTGGTTAGTGCAGAGTGAGATCTCAGGGGTTACTGTCTGGGAAGACAGAGTTGGTTTGATTCCCGTGCTGCAGTTTTCCCAAATGCTCGAAGTAGGGCACTGTGTTCCAGAGGGAGGCGAGTGGAGCCGGGCTTCTCCCGGGAATCTGCCTGCGGTGCTGCTGCCTCGCTCAGAGAACAGGCAAATTAGGCAACGTTTTCTTTCTACCTGGATGGGTTTTGTTTCATTCAGTGATTTGGCAGGGTAGGACCTGGGAATTAACTGTTCTGGCCAGCCCTGCAGCCAAAGCCATTTTCCCAAATTAAGCCATGTAATTTCCCTGCCCTCCCAGCACAAGAGCCCGGAGCTGGCTGGGCTTTGGGAGAGCCAGATGTGCTGCAACTTCTCCTCACAGAGATTCAGGGACTGCTGTAGTGTATTTTCAGTGGAGAGATTCAAAGGTGGCTTAGAGGAGAGGTGGCATTTGGCAGCCTCGAATAACACTCAAGGATTTGCTTGCATGGGTATGAAAAGCTGCATATGAATGATCCCTTCATCATCCCTGGGATTACACCTTCTGTTAGGCAGGTATCACTCAAAAAAGCATTTCATCTGTGGTCCCCAGACATGCCCTGAGCTGGAGGACAGTGAGACAGGGGGTTTGACAGCAGGCTCTTGGTCCCTGGCTGACACAGCGGTGTCAGACCTGTCAGGTGAGCGGGAATGCTCTGCAGGAGAGCTCGGCCTGAGGGACTGTTGCTCTCAGAGAGGTGAAAGAAAAGCAGCACCTGGGCCTCCCAGTCATGCAGGGAGGTTTGGGTTCCAAAAGATAATTTTATCTTCCTGAACATTCCCATCCCATTGTGTATGAACAATGTATAGAAAAGGACTGGAGTCTCTCAGATCCCTCCCGAGCATTTTCTGCTGTGCTTGTCTCGCTCGTAATCCAAGAACTGTTTCAAAGAAGCATCTGCTATTGGAATATTTGCCTCTTAAATATTTGATTCTTGACTCCATCTTGTATCCAAGCTGATTGTTCCTGAGCCACTCCTTTGCTCATGGAAGTCACCATTATAACACTGTTCTGTTCTGGAGCTTTGGTCCAATCTTTGCGGGAGATGCCATTGGAAAAATGAATAGTGCAGTAAATGCAGTCACAACACTCCAGGCTGAAATATTGAGCTACAGTAGATCATAAATGCTTCTGTTACTTGGCTTCTGTGTATCTGAATTGGGACTGTTCCTGCCTCTTAGTTTCTTTATTTTTCCTTTCCTTGCACGTCCTGTTTCTCCTGCAGATGTGTGTGAATATATGAAGTGTATGAACTGTGCACATGCATGTTCAGACAGATAATTAGGTGGATGTGGCTTGTGTGTGGAGCAGAGGATATAAACAAACATATCTATGCTTTTTATCCTGTGTTTGATTAATGCATGCATTTAAATACATCCTGCCAATTTAAAATGGAAAATTATTACCTCCTGGAGTAGTGAGACAGTTGTACAGGGTGAGGAAAACAAGGAAATAACAGTAAACATTGGAAAAGTCACAGGATGCCTCAGTGGCATCAGCTCACACCACGGTCTGTGTGTGTGTGTTCGGAGCCACTGTGAGAAGCCTGGTTTAGTAAAACCTTGGCCAAATATTTTTTTCTCCCTAAAGAACATCTGAGGAATTGCTCAAAGTGTTGTGTTGAAAAAAAAATACCCTGGTTATAGTCAGCAGAGCTTATGCTTGTAGAAAAAACATGGTTGTTTCTCGTGGCATTGGGTTTTAACGTTGACTGAGAAGAAAAAAAAGCTGGAATAAGGGTTTGCTCTTCACTAAATTACTGTGGGGTTCACAGGGATGTGGTTGGCCAAATTTTGCCAGTCTTGTGCATACTGGTTTTTTTTCTAAGACTTCTGTTACAGTAACAGCAATAAAATTATTGATTGGGAATAAAAGAAGCAAAATCAGAGCAAGTGTAACTCACATTCTGTGTGAGAGATGCATTAATCTGGTACAGTCGGAGTATGTAAATGTGAGATCTAAGGGAGGATTGTGAAATGAGTGCTCCTTTCAATTTTCTGGCTGGTCACATTGCTTGTTAGAGCTAAAAAGGGTTCCAAAAAGTGGCTTTTCTGCTAACAACGTCTCCTGCCTCCTGATTTATTGCAGCAGCTCACCAAGTTTTTATCATGGAACACTGAATGTTTGGCTTTGCAGTGGCCTCTGGAATCATCCACAAATCAAGCATTTGGCAGATGGATTTTTCTTAATTGGATCCACATTTCTCCTAACAAAATTTGTGATGGAGAAAATTTCTGATTTGGACACGGGGCACAGGGAGCAGAGCCAGGGAACCGAGAGAAGGTTCTTCTGCTCCAGTTGTTAACTGGTGGTGCTGCATTTGGGACTGTTTGCTTGTGGTGGCAAAGGTGATTTTGCACAAATACCTTCAGACTGTCCTGACTTGGTGGAAAATGGGTACTCTGGGGAACTCCGTGTTCTACTGGAATCTCTGAGTTGGTTGTTCCTGGGCACACTTTGCCTCAGTGCACCTAGAATTCATTTCATGCTCAGGGACTCTGGATTACCAACATTTGTGATTATTTTGCAAGGGTTTTTTTTTTCTATAATTCCAGGAGATAACATTCTATTTAAGCTTTTATTGGCACTACAAAAGCCTGAGCATATGGTTGATTGTTAAATGAGCCTCAGCCTTGGAAGGGGTACAGCCCTGCATTAATAACAGACTTGCACTACTGAGACTTCCTCTTTAAACTGCTTTTTGTCTTTAGCCCATCCAAAATTTTTGCTTATAACCCACAGAGGGAAGAGGAACTGTACAAGTCACGTGCTGCAGCACATTTCATTCCTGATGTACTGATGTAGTGCCCGTGCTGCTGTCAGGGTTTTCCATGTGCTCAAAGCTTGTTTGGGTGCATCCTGCAGCAAACTTAGTCTTGGAGCTCTTTGAGATCTAATTATCACTTGTTTATTCCCAACAAACCTGATATGCCAAATATTTTTAGGCATGATGGAATTGGTGAAGTTTGATGAGAATATGGTGAGTGCTGCATGACGAAGGATGGAGTTGCTCTATTTTCTTTGGAATTGGAAAGAGGAATGACTCATTCTGCAGAACTAGGGCACTGGCAGACCCCAGAATGCATGAAGGGCTTTTAGATCTGTGTGAAGTAGTACTGGAGAGCTGCTTCCTCTTCTGGCTCCTTGTTTAGATGGCATTATCCAGGGAATCTTTCTGAGCAGGAACACTTGTACAAGTAGGGACCCCACGAAGGGCGACACCAACAGCACTCTAACTACAGCACCTGGGCTCTGGTTTTAATTATAATGAAGATACTTTGAGGAATGACTGTTCAGTTTGTGTAGGGAAACCATTCACACTGTCAACAGCGGCTGAAATGCAGAATAAAACATCTTGCAAAGTCAGGAGCATCCAGCAGGTACCAATGTCACCTGTGCTCGGGTAGTGTCTGTCCCCACCTCCCCCCCAGTCAAGGAATTCAGCAGCTTAAAGGTTCAAGGACAGTCTCAGAAACCAGACTGGCCTCACACGGTACCTGCATTTATACCAAGGCTGCTTTGTCCTACAATATGCAAATCAGCCTTTTAATGGGGTTCCTTTGCAAAATATTTCTTGAACCAGAAAGTTAATTACTGATCTGTAATTAATGGCTGTGTTAGGAGGCTGGAAAAATCAGCTGCTTTGAAGGAGAGGTGCAGGAGGAAATCACCATTTCTCCCCAGAAACTGTGACATTCCTCATCTTCTGCTCATGGTATTAGGAAGCTTAGAAACTGGTATTTTTAAAAAGGG